TGCAATAAACATGGGTGTGCATATATCTGCTTAGATGTCGGTTATGGTCTCTTTGGGGTATATTCCCAGTAGTAGAATTGCTGGGTCAAATGGTATCTCTATTTGCAACTTTTTGAGAAAGCGCCATACTGCCTTCCACAGTGGTTGCACCATTTTACACTCCCACCAACAGTAAATAGGGGTTCCAGTTTCTCCATAACCTCGCCAGCATTTGTTGCTTGCTGTTCTGTTAAATTTTGCTATTCTGACTGGGGTGAGATGATATCTCATAGTTGTTTTGGATATTTTTTTTATTCTATATTGATATATATTCAGATTTTAAGCCAGCCTTGTATCTAGGACTGTACTTGATTAGAAATGCATGTGTTTTTGTGGGGAAGGGATGTGGAGGTGTTATGAGATACTAAAGAAAGACTCAATCAGATCCCTAAGTTCTGGGACAACATGTAGTAAGCAACATGGGCAGTAGTGCATAGACGTTCTGTTAGAACTCAGAGCTGGGACAAGGGGAGTCAGAGAGGGCTCCCTGGAAGAGGTTTTACGCTAGCTGGACCTTGTGCAATGGCCAGCATTGATGCATGCACATTTGGAGACACAGATTGCTAACTGAGGCACCCTTTATATGGGTCATCTCTTCAGATACACATTAAAGTGTAAGAGTCACTAAGGGCCATGGTGGGACACTGAGCAAAGCTGAATGGGGACATGATGTGCCTGACACCACAGAGGGCCCTGAGTACTGGCTGCTTGAGCCACGTGTGGCCAGAGGTTTAGCCATGCAGCCACCCCTGAAATGTCTCACAGTAGCTCTACTCACCTGTCATCTTTGCATCAATTTTGTCTTGTCCTAGACGTTCGGTGCTGCAGACTGGGAAGTGTTCCACATTGGAGAGAGGATTTTTCTTGCCGTTGCCAACAGCCACAGCTATGATGTGGAAATGCAAGTGCAGAACGACTCGTATATCATCAACTCGGTCATCTATGAGCTGAACGTCACAGCGCAGACTTTTGTCAAGTTCCAGGACATTCCTACCTGCAGGTATACCTGGAGGCCAGTGGCAGAGGAGGAGGGTGAAGCTAGTTTGGAGACTGGCAGAGTATCAGGCAACCTTCTCTCTAGAGAATGTGGGTTGACTTCATCACTTCTGATCATATTCTTTGCTCTAATTGCCTTCAAACAGTGTTCTGAACAATAATAGACTATAACAACAATAACAAGAGCAAATTACTGTCAATATTGCTTTGGAGATAAAACAGGAAGCCACAGCTAAGCATATTGAGTTAGATCAATTTCCCCTTTCAATTGGTTTAAAGTTCTATGAGTCACAGCACAGTCAAATGGTGACTTACTCAGTCTCCAGTAAAACGTTCCTGCTTGCTTCTTTTACTCCCTTAGGTAAAGAATTCAATTATTACTGAAGAAATCATGCATGTAGACTCACATAACTGGCCCAGTGCCTTGGCCAAACCTTACAGCCCGGCACAGGATGATGAACTCAATGTGTCCCTTTTCAAAATGTATGGTCCTGGTCACCGCGCTGGGACCAGATGGGCACCTTGTTGTGGGAGTGGCTGGAGGGAGGAGTGAGGAGCCCAAGAGTCCTAGGACACATCTGTGAACCTCATGGTTCCCAGTCCCATGAGCCTCAGCCCTAGAGTCTCCTCAGTTCCTCACACCTGTGAAATGTCTTGTCAAGAGAGTATGGTCTCCTCTGCCCTGAGCCTTATGGTTACTGTAGGTAGAGACAGTGGGTTGGCCTTTGGAATCAGCCTGGCTTTTGCTTGTCAGCCTGACTCATAACTGGCACTTCAGTTTCAAGATATGTTAGTTGGGGGCAAGTAGGACCTGTCATAATCAGAGATGTGTAAGGTAGGATCAGGATTTGGGTCCTGCCCAAGGTAGGGTCCTAGGGAATATTTCCAGGAAGCTTTATCCACCCCCTCAAAACTGAGCCATCTCTGAGGGCAGATCCAACCTTAGCAGATCCAAGAGGGATTGGTGCCTAAGATGGAATGTAGCTTTGGGTTGGATTTGTAGCAAGAAACAGAACATCCCAGTACACTGGGGAAGCTCATGTGTTCGTTTGAACAGCTGTTGGAGGACAGAGTCAGGCATCACTGGGTCACATGACGGCCGGGGTCCTCTAACTGTTGCTCCAGCACAGGTAGCATGACCATGATCTTGGGACTTCTATCCAACACCTGGGCCTCTTAAAAAGTCATAATTAATTTATATCCCCTAGAAAAGTCCTAGTCCTTTTTGCTAGGCACAATTGATTTAGTAGGCTTGTAGTTGACAGGTTGGAAGTTCAAGACCATTCAAAAATACCTCAGAAGAAAGACGTAGCAATTGGCTTCTGAAAACCCAGTTGTGGAGACCCCCATGGAGCACAGTTCTCCTCTGACACACAGGGGTCACTGAGAGTTGATGTCTATTCAACAGCACCTGGTTGAGTTTGTGGTTTAGAATACACCAACTCATTGTTGAAAATCACTCCTCCACTCTGGCCATGGTGCCTCATCCCACATTCGGGAAGAGTCTGGAAGTCACCCTCCTACCACCCCCTTGTTCCCCTCCACATTTTCTCTGAAACATCTGTGAAGAGCATACCCAAATATCTGTGTGCTTGTCTCTGCAGTGCCCTGGACTGGGAGTTCTTCTCTGTGGGAGAAGACTATTTCCTGGTGGTTGCTAACTCCTTCGATGGAAATACCTTCTCTGTGAACAGTATTATTTACAGGTAAAGAGCTTCCAAAAAGCAGTCCCCTTTCTACTACCTTTGTTCACCTCTGAGTGGCCTTGCAGATGAGTCACAGGCCGCTGGCCTAGGTCACTTCACCAAGGTTTCATCCAGACTTGTCAATTACCTAGTGTAAGTAAGGTATGACTGCATAGGGATGGAGTCTGGGTCACTGTCTTGTATTTATCCAGGTGACCCACCAGTCATACTGGCCATGAAGCTCTGCAGTCTACCTAGAAGTACGGCATAAAGACAAATCACTCTTGAAACTATTGGTGTTTTACCCTTAATAATGCCCCTATCCAGAATAATGACATGTCTTGCCACTTAGATTCTTCAATAAAGTTTTACAACTCTCCTCAGCAAACCACTCTGCCATGCTTATTAAGTTCATTTACCAGGTATCATTCAATTCTTTGAGCATAATGGCTTGCTTTTTTGAAACTTCCATTTCTAGGTGATTTTGACTGCAATCCATCTTTGAGTCTTTTCACTTATCAAATTATCCATTAAAATACTTTAAGGGGTTTTTGTCTTAAGAAGAATTTCAAGAGATTTCTGAGTTTATGATTGTATTTGTGTATAAAGACAGTTTTGCCTCTGTAGTGCTCATATATTTCTTATGTAGGTTGTTTTTTTACCTACAAAAGCCATCACGGTGATGACGAGCAGGCCTGCTCTGATTTTGATGAGAATACATCGAGTCTCGCACTGTTTAACGAAATGAGGATTTTTTTTTAAATGAGCATTATGTTTGTGTTGCATTTAAGAGGTTTCTTTTGGGTGTTTATTAGTGCATGATATAGTCTACTTCAATCTGATGATCTCTGTCATTGCTGTCAAGTCAGAAACAACTCTTCGCTGACTCTCTAGCAGGGTTTCAGAGGTTGTAAATCATGCAGGAGGAGATTGTCCATCTGTCTCTGGCATAGCTGCTGGTGGATACAAACTCCGGAGAGATTTGGCTTTGGTTCAGCAGCACGCCCCCTATTGCTTAGGCCCCCAGAGCTCCCTGATGCTGGAGGCGTTCCTAAACAGAGAGCTCCCTGCGTTCCACTTGGTGATGGTGTCCAGTCAATCACTCTATACGCCACTGAATTCCAATGGTTTCTTTTCCCATTTTTGCCTCTACAACAGACAATGAAATTGTTCTGTGGTTTTGCTTTAAAGACTATTTAAGTTTGATGTGAAGGCAAACTGAATAAGCACCCATCACAGAATTTCCCAGCCATGCCTATGAGATAAGGGAGCTTTAATTGGTCCATTTTCTTTGAAGATTAAGTTAAATTCAGTTATAGAATTCCCTGGGCCTGATACCTTTTCTCCTTATCAACTTTTTTTATTTTACCTGTGATTGTTGCTTTACACATAGATCTATATTTTCCAAAAGGTATTATTCCAATTCGTTACTATAGAGTTTTCAATATGACAAAATAATTTTGAAATTTATATGGAAGAATAAATTCACAAAGACAGCCAAAAAAAAATTAGAGAAAGAAAGTATAAGTAAAAAGAAAAAAAAATCATAGATGGCATGTATGACAGGCCAGAATAAGGCCTGCCATTTACTAGTATTTAATGTGATAATGGTTGTATTTAAATTCAAAAGGATATCTTTTTTTCACAAAATAATTTCATACAATTGTATGAAAGAAAACAAAACTATGTCCCTACTTCATATCATCTGCAAAAAATAAAGATATTTATTCTAAAAAAATAGAAATAAACTTACCAGATTATACAGAAAAAAGTAATTATAATTAAAGATATTAGATGGGAAAACAATAGAGAGAATCAACAAAACCAGAAGCTGATTCTTCGAAAGATAAATAAAACTAACAAATATTTAGCAAGAGTGTCAAAGAAAGAAAAGGAAAAAAGATTAAAATAACCAAAATTAAAAAATAAATAAAGATAATTATGGCATGATATTGTAAATAACTATGCTGCCAACATTAAATGAAATGAACAAATTCTTAGAAGCACATGATCTAAACTGACTCAAGAGGAAATAGAAAGTCTCAGCAGACCTTAACAAGTGAAGAAAACAAATCTGTGATCAAAAACCTCCCCAAAACAACAAAATTCCTGAATCAGGTGGTTTCACTGATTCACACCAGTACTGTTTAAACATTTCTAAAATAAACATTTTTATAGGATAGAGATTAGAAGCAGGAGTGGCATCCACTTCCTAAAATAACATGCCTCTGGGAACACTATGAACTTTGATAAATGTTGATAGCTATAGAGGGGCTTCAGGCCTTTAGTTCATACAGTCACTGTGAGTTGTGCTCAACTCAAAGACAATTAACAACAACAACAAAAGATAGCGAAGGCAAGACTATTCCATAATCTAGTCTATGAAACAAGTATAACCCTAATACCAAACTCAAACAAGGACACCACAAGTAAAGAAAATTATAGGCAAGTATCTCTTATGAATATAGATGCAAAAATCCTCAACTAGAGAACAATATCCAAAAACATATTAAAGAGTCATGCACTTAACCAAGCAAGGTTTATTTCAGGAATGTTGGGGTAGTTCAGCATTAGAAAATCATTCCAAGAGTGTTGAACATAAATTCAACTTGAACGAGGCCAACTAACAAAAGCATTATTATCTATATTAGTTGATTTGTTTTTTATTGTTGTTAGATGCTATCAAGTTGACTGCAACTCATAGTGACCCTCTGAGCAACAGATCTGAACCTTGCCCTGTTTTGTGCCATCCTCACAATCTCTGATGTGCTTTAGCCCACTGTTAAAATCACTGTGTCAGTTCATCTCATTGAAGGTCTTCTTTTCTTTCTCTGACCCTCTACTTTCCCCAGCATTGTTGTTACTAGATACGGTCAAGTTAACTGTGATTCAGAGCAACCCTATGAACAGTAAATCTGAACCTTGCCTTACCTTGTGCCATCTTCACCATCACCAGTGTACTTGGGCTCATTCTTACAGTTACCATATCAATCCATCTTGTTGAAGGTATTCCTCTCTTACATTGACTCTCCACTTTTCCAAACATGATGTCCTTTTCCTAGGACTGTCTTCTCCTAACAACGTGACCACAGTATGGGGGATGAAGTTTCCTATCCTTGCTGCAAGGAGCACCCTGTTCTAAAACAGACATGTCAGTTCTTTTGGCAATCCATATGATAGTCAGTATTCTTCTCCAGAACCACAACTCAAAGGCATTGACTCTTCTTCTGTCATACTTTGTCTCTGTTCAACTTTCGGATGTATAGCAAGTAACTGAAAAGAACATGGCTGGATTAGGTGCATCTAAGTCTTTAAATTGAC